TGTACATTGTTTAGCTATTGGGACATATGAGTTGGGGCTCTGGACGATCCGTGTAGTCAGCACTACTGTACTCTGCCTGTCCAAATAGTTGTCACAGAATTTAAGGCATTACACAACAACATTATAAATCACAGCCATCTCTAAATATGATATTTTCAGGAACCAAAAACAGCTCTAAAATAAATCAATGTTTCCTGAAGACAAGAACTCAAATGTAAGATATCATATTTTATCAAGAGCTGATCAAATTTTTTTTGAACTTCCAAATTAGAAATTTTTCAACAAAAAAGGGACAATTCTTTTAGAAAAATTTTGGCATATTCCCCCTCATTTTCCAACCAGTTCCATTTTTAACTTAAGCAGTGCTGATATAACAATGCAGATATTATCAAAGCAATGGAAAGATTAAAATTGGTTTGGTGGCACAAGGACTATTAAGCATGCGCCATTTTTCAGCTCTAGAAATGTGGTTCAAGAGTATTTAGACTTCAGTGGAATATTGTTTGGCAGTTGCAATGTAAACACAAAACCGACAAACAAGCAGTTGCACATGGGTTCCAAAATTAGTGTGAAACTTCTGAGATCTGGACACTTTCATATTATAGTCTAATGGAAGAGGGATGAAAAAAAACAAAGAGAAAGACTGATGATATTCAAAGTCCCTCTAGAAGATGCACATTATTTTGTTGCTGGGGAGAAACTGTTTATCAATTTGGATACTCTTAAACACTGCAGACCTTTTGCAGTTAATGAGCCATTGTTATATTTATTTCAAAGATGCACAAAATGAAAGGTCACAGGGAGACTGCTTACCTAATAAATTTTCCATTAGCAGTTCCCCATTGTATCATTGTTTACATAAAATCATAGGAAAATTAAGAATGAGGAAGGGGCTTATACTGATCAAGTAATAGGCATTTATTTCTTCACCCTGCCAATCCCTCCACTGAAATAGACCACCAAGTAATGAGCAGTTGCTCATCTATGCATTTTTTGGCTCATCTATTTTTGTAATTGTCACAGTGCAAGAAATCAATGTAGTACGCCTTTCACAAAAAAAGTTTATATATAGAGAGAGAGAGATGTGATTTGCCAAGGGATGGGTAGTTCAGGTGATTGCTAATGGTATATGACACATTTTGTCTCTTGGTTGCTATTTCAAATCCAGGTTAGTACCAATTAGAAGTTACTACCATCTGATGACTCTTCAGTGGCCTAAAGGTAAAGGGTTTGTTGGTGGTAGTTGACTTCCCTGTAGTCAGATGTCCAGATCACAAACATCATTAATGATAACAGGCACCCTTGCTGGCAGTCTCAGCAAAAAAAAGCCAATGACTCAGATCCTGCTGTTTAAGCACATGAGCAGTCCCACGGATTTCAGCGAGTAGTCCCATTCCATAGTGATCCCATTTAAATCAATGGGACTACTCACATGCTTAAAGCTAAGCATGTAACTTAAGTCATTTGCTTATTGGGGCCTGAATGGGCCTGGAAATAGAATGGTCGTTTCATCCCTTGAGATCAGAAGTAAATCATATAGGCAGGAAAATACAGGGAAACTAGCACTGATCCCTGTTTTTTCCATATCTGGTGTGTGTAAGTACTGAACTTCAATTGCCAGAAGATCACCAGGGAGACAAACTCAACATTTTGCATGAGCACTAAATTCAACAAGAAAAAATATGAGTTGCTTAAAATCAAATAACAAATTATTGGCTGATGTGAAAATAGAACCCAGGAGTCTTGACTCCATGACTCTGCTTTAGCTGCAATTTGAGGTTTATCTAATTGATGATCAAAGCTAGTCTGGGTTTGAAAATAACTTTATTACCAGATATACGAATAGGTCCAAGAAAGAATTGCTTCATTTTGACATAAATGTACTTTTCAGAACTTTCTCACTGAGGCTGGGCAGCTTTGATTAAATTTATTTTTATATATATTAGTCACATTATGTACATTTTTCAGAGTAGCAGCCGTGTTAGTCTGTATTTGCAAAAAGAAAAGGAGTACTTGTGGCACTTTAGAGACTAACCAATTTGAGCATAAGCTTTCATGGGCTACAGCTCACTTCATTGGATGCAGTCAGTGGAAAAAATGCATCCGATGAAGTGAGCTGTAGCTCATGAAAGCTTATGCTCAAATAAATTTGTTAGTCTCTAAGGTGCCACAAGTACTCCTTTTCTTATTATGTACATTGAAAATCAGCACCTAAGAGATAGAATAGCTGTTTTTACAATATATTTTATAACACTGCTCCATATTGATCCTATACTTCGGCAAAGAAGAAGTAATTCAGTGGACCAGAATTGCTGCCACCTCAAAATATGAGAGGTATTAAAAAAACCTATAGGTATAGGAGGAGGGGTGGAAATGTACAAATATACTATGCAGCATTCAGAGATGGAAGAAAAAAAACGCACAGTGAAACTTGGATAAAAAGCACTACTTCCAAAGACAATCTTCTGTCTTAACTACTTCAAACTATCCCCACCGTTTCCAGTACTACCACACTGGTCCTTTATAAAGACCAACCTCTATTAGGCAACCGATTTTTATTGACTCCTTAGGTATTTAAGGCAGATTACGTGGTATTTTCTTTTTTGACTCAACAACTGATCCTTGATTCTCTGCTTACCAATTTTTGGTCATCCTAAATTGATGATTATTAAGTTGTTAAACAACCCAGGATTATTTTGGTTATAGCACTAAAAACTATGATATTTTCTTCCCACCCACCTATAGAGAAGCATACATGCCAGTCACATAGGAGATCTAAAGATAGATGTCTATATCAAGTTAACATGCCACAGCTCTGCATGTAAAAAGGATAAACGAATTCAGAATGAGCTGGTGGGAACAGACATGATGTATCTGACTTTTATTTCAGTGTGTTGTATGGATATGTTGGTTCATTTTATACTGATTTAATAAATGCAACAGCTTAAAGCTTAAATGATTAAAATGGACATGCAGTTAAGAATGAACATATTAAAAGTAAAAGTCCTCCTCACATTTAACCATGTTAAAAAATAGAAAAATTGTAATGAGGCTTATGCTTAGGAGAGAGCATTGTGCAAGTTAATGTAAGTAATGAACCTTTCATGTGAAATGATGTAGTGTCACAACTCATTTGCATCCCACTTAAAGTGTAATTAAGTTTCCCTGACAGCATGGCTTATGGCTGAAAGAACAGACCTGGCTGTTGAATTAATCCAGAATCCCTCTAGTTAATAACACTCTGCAAAGAGAACTTTACACACTTTCATTTAAAGTTCCTAAACTCACATTTAAGGTGACATTATAAGGAATGCAAGAGAAGGCTTTAAAGATATTGGGCCAAATTCAGCTCTGGAGCTGATTTCACGAGGAGTTCTGCCTACTTAAGCCAGGATCATATTTGATCCAGCTTCTAGAAATGCACATAACTGTGCAATACACTTAACTACACTGTGTTTCCATTTTGTCTCATTGTAGGACTACTGGTATATGAACTCCAAAATCCACTTTACTAGAGTCTGAAAAGTTCTAAAATCAGCAAATGATGTGGAATGCCTGTAGGCAGGAAAATAGACTGATTATCACCTGCTTCGTGGATCGCAGTATTTTATCAATGCCTGACAACTGGATAAGATAGCACAGGACACCTTGTATGGTCGGTAATAGTCCAGTGAAAATTACCCTGAAAACCAACATTTGTAAAGGAAAAAGACCCTACAATCAACTCTAGTACTTCCAGGCATCTATAAAAATCTAAGTTCAAAACAGAGTAGTTATTAATAGACCACTTACAGCAATTCTGCTTATGTACTTTAAGCAATGATGATTAGTTTTGATGTTACTGAAACTAACAGCTTATCTTCTATTGACTAGATCACCTCTGACAACAGTGAAAGATTTCCATTCTGTAGTTTAATCTGATTTCTTTCAGTGGGGTAGAGTGGAATTCATCTTTTGTAGAAGCAGCAAAGTTTTCAGCCACTAGAACCTACAGATCTTTTGAGATCCATGTGGCTCCAGGGGAAAGGCTGGCTTGCCATGGATGTTTTCCAGCACCAAAGTGAAAAGCTCCATGGTGGCAAGTTATGGAGCTGTCTGGGGAGAAAGAACTCATGCATATGAGCTTCACTTCCTTTATTATGTTTTTGTTATTTGTATTACAGTAGCACCCAGAAGTCCTAGCCAGTGTCCCCTATCATGCAGGGCACTGTGCAAAACACATAATAAAAGGCAGCATCTGCCCTAAAATTTTACAGTCTAAATTCTGTACTTTCTTTTTTTGTAAGATTTCCTCTAAGAGTTGAGTGACTGTCCTGCCCCCTTATTTTGTTTTGGAACAAAAGTTCTCCTTATAATCCAAAAAAAGTAATCTGTTGAAGAGAATAGAATAATTTTTTGTAGAGGTGAAAGTAAATATTGCACGATATAGTGCCTTAGTTTATGTCTTTATGCTGATCTCCAGCTTCATCCTCTGAGAGCACCATGAGTCTGCATCATGGTCCCTTTAAAAAAACATCTATCCAACAGACTGACATTCCTCTATCAAGGATAATACCTGGTTTTAGTAACTCCACCAACAGTATTTCCCAAAAGTCACACTGAAATATATTACATGGTAATCTGCAAAGTCAGACTCCAAACCAGAGAAGGGAAAAAATTCCATAATGGCTATAATTAGACAGCCTTCAGCTGCTAGACAGGGATACTTCTCTCCCACACCCACACTAGGAAGTGGCTTTTGTGACTACAGAGCTTACCTGGGCTAGACACTCTTTTCTTGACTGCGCCACTAGTGTCTAGCTTACAAATATTAGTATCCTTTGTATTTCACAGCCAGATTAAAATAATTTAATTGGTTTCTATTAACTTTATAAGAGGTGTTTTAGGAAGATAAAACATGCCTTGAAAGAGTGGTTAAAACACCCATTATCCCCTTTTTATCATTTAATTGTTAAAAAGAATCAATATAAAACAAAACATGATCAAAAGAAACAGCCTCTTAAATTATTTATTTTAATTGCCACATCAATTTGAAGCTGTGACACAATACAACAATTCCAGCAATTTGAAAATATACTTTTAAATAATTTGGGGGTAAGGGTGTTTTGTTTGGGTTTGGTTTGTTTTGTTTTCTAATAACTGTGTTTGTGATTTAGAGAGTTACTTGATTGTAGACACTGATTAAGCTATTTCCATAGGTCTGATGCAGGTTGCTCCCAGTTCTCTCCCATAATCCACTTTAGACTGAACTTTTTGAAATACTCCAGACGATGGCTATTGGTGAGAAACAGGCATAAAAAAAAAGCAACTTGTAAGTAAAGAATACAAGTTTCACTACTCACTTTAATAATACACTTCAAAATGAACAGTTTGCTTCAAAGGTGAGCTGGAACCAAAATCTGCACTCAGAACACCACACACAATCATTGGACCCTATACTTTTGTGCACATAATCATTTCTGGGGGTAAATATAGTAGATGCTATTAAAATCTTGACAGAGTTATTGCAGTTCAGTATTCACTTTCACAGCTCTATTTAAGGGATTCCCTCTCTTTTGAACAGAAAACATGACAAATGCTCTAGTCATTGTAACTCCTGCAAGCAGTAAATGTCAATATTTTAACTATGCCAACTGAAATAGTATTTCAAGGTCAAATTACTGAGGACACAAATGCTGCTTTTGTTCTCACAAATCAAATAGATATCAAAAAAACTATCATTTGTGCCCACAAATAATTTAGCACACAAAATTGTGACCAAAAACTTAAAGGTCATTTGGCTGACAAAGCCAAAAAAGAATTAACTCATTCAAAGGCTGCTCCCTCTAACTTATATCCAGCTACCTCTGGCTCTAAGACTATGTCTACACTGCAGCTGGGAGCAAGCCTAGGAGTTGGGTGGCTAGGCTGAGTCTCCATCAGAGCTACAATGTCCACACAACTATTTTTAGCATGGCAGCTGAAGCCCTATCTACCTGGGCTGAGAGGCTTGCTCCCCAGCTACAATGTAAAGACACCATAAGAAATCTTTTTGGCAAAGATTGCTGAAGTTTAGGGGCAGCATAGCTCTGTCCTGCTCTGGGGTCAGGAGAGAGGGTGGAGTAGGAGCTTATATAGTAGTTCTATTCTACCTATTTCCCTGCATAGGGGGAATCCTCACATACTGGAACAAATGACTTTATGTCCCCTTTGCATCCAGAACAGCACAAAGCAGCCAGAGCAGAGCTGCAAATCCAGCCCATAATTTTAAAAAAATCATGACCCATCTGGGACAAAAATGCCAATGGAGACTTTGAAGGGACTTTTTGTGCTTAAAATCAAGCACCTGCTTAGGTGCTTTGTTCAACCAGGGCTTTGTAAATTAGTACTGGAACCTTGAATTGGATCCATTAATGAACAGGGAAGAACTAGTGGAATATGCTCTCTACAGTTTGTTTGTATGTCACGGTATTATATTTCCTCTAGTATATACATTTCTCATAATTGTGAATGAAAAACATTTTTAAAAAAGGAAGTTCTGTATTCTCATCAGCTGAAACGTATTTTTTCAGATTACAGTCTGCCTCTGCTCTAGGAGTTTCATCTAAACCCTATTAAAGTAAATGAAAGGACTTCCATTTCCAGACTTCAGTGAGCTTTGGATTGAGACCCAAAAGGCAGTTTCATAATTCCTAGCTGTGTCACGCTGAAAGTATTTTTCACCACATTACACTGCAGTAGGAAGGATTTCCCAAATTTGCTGTATTAGTCGTCACAGACAAAAGAGAAAACAAGCATAAATAAGATACTGATTTTGTACTCACAAATTAGGCCCCTGTCCTGGTTCAATATCCTCTCTAGGTATTGGATAAAGTGCCTCATATGTTCTTCCAATTCCAGACCCATGGATGGCATAGGAATTCATCTTGTCAACACCAGGTGGGAAATACCTCCAAGGAATAAGTGCTGTGCCATTCCATTTGTTCCAGTTTATGTCTGCCTTAAATATCAAGTCGAGTCCTTTCTTTACACAGGATTAAAAAAAAAATCAAAATGACATCCTTGTTATTTAAATATAAAATTAATATCACTAAACATGTTGAACTAAGGCAAACATGAGTGTGTTTTTTAATGATCTAGATAATAGGGAATACTTATAAATGACATTAGATTTAAGAGTCTGTTAGTATTTCCATTAAAATATCAATTACTATTTCATAATTGTTTATCCATAATATATGGATTATTTTATCTCTTTCTAGTAATGAATTTGACAAGTAAATTTAGAATAATGAAAACAAAGACAGCTGAAGATATGTTCATGCAGCAAACAATGCAACTGCATATGGAACAGAATTCTTGGGTATTACTTTTACAAGTAGATACAAGTGCAGGTGTTGTAATACAAAACACAACTGAATTCTGTCACAGAAATTGACATTGATTAGTTGGTGTCATTTTAATTGACTACCTATTTTCTTTCTCCAAGCTGTAACGTTAATAATGCACTTCAGAAGGAATGTAATGCTTTTGATAAGGAGAACAGATTCTGCTAATCTAATCCTCAATAATCAATCCCTGCAGGACCGTATAACCTCATTTCTTGAAGGATGCACAGATGAAAAAGTGTATTTATATTTTAATATTGAGGCAGAATCCTTGGGTGAGTGGTGCTGTCCATGTGCTATCAAAATATTTCCAGGGTCCCAGCTGTACTGCCTCACTCGGGTTACACGGCTGCATAGTTCTAATGGAATAGTGCTGCCTTGGTCTGTTCCACGACATTTTCCCCAGAACGCCAGGGTCTCCCTTCAGTCTACCATGTAAAGGAGGTATATATAAAAACTGATATAGAATTTCTATAGGGTTGGTGAAGAAGTGATGCATGGGGAATGCCTCGCCCCTACTTCCACCTGTTTCTAACCCTGGCCCCGCCCTTCCCATGTGCAGTTCCCAAGTCCCATGGAGGAAGGGGAAGAGGCAAGAGGACAATGCCACAGAAACAGCACTCTCCACTTACACTCCTCTCCACGGCAGAGATCCATGGATTTATTTTATTTATTATTTCCTCTGCCTGTGGAGATGAAGATGACAATTTGGAACTCAGGTTCCTTATTCTGAAGACTAGAAAATAAAATAAAATCAGAGCCAAAAGAATGAATTCCTCAAAAATGTACTATATATATATTCTAAGGCAGGGGTTAGCAAACATTTTTAGAGGGAGGTGAACTATATTCTAACACACAAATTGTACCATTTCACCTCCAAATCCCAATTCCCCTGCTATTCTCATTCCCACAGACCACTTCCCTCCTATCTGAGATGGCACAAAACACTTCCCTCACATTTTGAGAAACATAGGTCTCTGACAACTACAGCAACCACTTATGTGGAAAAGTAACATTATGAAGTAAAGCAAAGTATTTTTAGTTATATTTTAATACAATTTGGAAGCTGAAAATGTAAAGAAGCCAGCACAATACACCCAGCAAGCTCTCCACAGACCAGCAGCCAGTGCTCCGGGGACCCAAGTTTGAGGACATCTGTTCTAAAGTGACAACGATTGTGAAACAGGTTCACAAACCCCTTTTCAGTGGGACACCGATAGCATATTATCTTTTAATTGTTTTTAATGATACTGTAGGTTGAAAACTTTTTCACTACTTCCCATGGCTGTGTCATTGCTAGGTCTTTTGGGTATTACATAGCAAGTTTATATACCCTCCAAAGAGTGCAGACCTTCTCTGCAGATCATTCAACACTCTTTCTGGACAATACTACTTTCAATTTTTCTATTCATCATCTGTACAATGGTCTAATAAAGTGGTAACACATTTGTGTGTGCGTGCATGTATTCTTGGATTTATACATTATGCAAGGCACAGACTGTTACCATTCAAAATAGTCAGTAGCTAACGGCTTGCTAACGCAGGGTTATACTCACTCTTATTATGGAAAGGTACAGAGTGAGGTTAAAGCCAGCTCCCATTCAAATTTGAGCTAAAAATCTTTAAAAGCTAAGTAGAACAGTGACTGTAGTTGAAATTGGATGAAAGTCTAAGAAAAAAATAGTTTGTGGAACACAGTATATCTATTGTCCCCCTGATTATTGCTGAAAGATTACAAGTAAACCCATTAATTACAACCAAAGCAAATTCTCCTTCAACTTGACAGGCAGCCCTTCCACTTTTAAAATCTTCAGTTCAGTTTCTCAAATAACTAGATTTTTCAAAAATCAGGAGACTCCTTGACTCGATGATTAAACATTTGAATGACTTTCAGGATTCAACACTGTATGCATCAGAGTTTTACTTATTCTTTTTGAAAAGTTCAATCATTTCTACAGAAAGCTTCAAATTTTTGACCACTTTACAGAATACAATAGAAAATTATGTTCTCCTGTAAAATTATATAGGATATTTCAAAAGCCTATAGACAGGATATCCTTCTCTATTGAATTCTGTAGGTTTTTACTGTAATTTCTATATAATCCTATTAACCCTATCAGGGGCTGCCCAGATTTTTTCTGGTGACAGTAGCAGCCATCAGAGGTACTGATGAAAAATCACTCTGACCTCCATGTACAATTTGAAGACCAATAGCCATGCACCATAAGAACATAAGAAAGACTGTATGGGGTCAGACCAAAGGTTCATCTAGCCCGTATCCTGTCTTCCGACAGTAGCCAATGCCAGGTCCCCCAGAGGGAATGAACAAAACAGGTAATCATGAAGTTATTCATCCCCTGTCACCCATTCCCAGCTTCTGGCAAACCTTTTCACTACTTCCCATGGCTGTGTCATTGGTAGGCCTTTTGGGTATTACACTTACCCCTACACCTTGCCTCTTGAGCCATGTCCACAACACAAGAATAATAGAATTTGGTGGACAGGAAGCCTACAAATTGGCAGTCATAGTGTAGAATCTGGCTTAGCTTCTAAAGGAGTAGAGAACTATCACATTCTTGTCAAAATAAAGACCCATTGGGAAGTAACTGCAGGAAAGGACCTTGGAACACATACAGAGGGGTGGGTGGCAAGGAGGGCTGCTGATAAATTAAGTCAGCCATACCTTTAACGATAAATTGTGTGACCATGTAATAAAAGGTGCTAATATAATGTACATATGTGAAAAATGTTACTCTGAAATTCCCTGTCCTTTGTATGTGTAATATTCTCTGCTTAACACTGCCTTAAAATAGGTTTGTTGGGAGTATTTTTCATTTACACTGAAGTACACAGGGCTCTATGAGAATTTGTTTTTTCTCTTTTCTGAGAATCTTACCATTTGTGGGTATTACTCATTGGCAATTGAGAAATCTATTGCTATGACTGATATTGTGGAACTAGCCATGCTCATTCATGTGGTCACTGACTCTGATGCAGAGAGAATGAATCCCTGCATTGATTCCTTAAAAGAACACAATAACAAAAGGTCAAGATATTTTGATGCTCTGAAGTAATTTTTGTCAGTAAAGAAGATTTTTCAGAATACATTATCCTCAATTACAACCGACTGAGCCAAGTCAATGAAAAGAAAATATACTGAATTGTGTTGAAAAATAATCATAATTCTTTATATTTCCATTGCATCATTTCCTGGTATGCCTGCATTGTACAGAAATTGAACTATGATCCCATGACTATAGTGGATTTTAAATCAACCTGACATTGGTATTTGAAAAAGAAATATGTTTTAAGTTTGCTACTACACAGTCCAGATTTCTATACATGCCATTGTATATTGCAAACTAATGGACTGTAGAGAATGCAATACTATTCTTTTGTTTATTGGACTAGTCTTTACAGAGCAGGGAATTAAGTCAAATTATGTTCTGTCTTTGGATGTTCATCTTGTCCTTTAAGATGACGTGACGTGAGGAAGAATAAATAGGCCATAATCTGATTACTCTTGCACTGGTGTAACTCCCTTGACTTCAGTGGAGTTACTTCTGATATATGCCATTGTATGTCAAGGAATCTCAAGCCCAGTGACTTTTCCTCTTCAAACAAACAGAACCACTTGTTCCTAAAATCAAAGTAGTTTGTTTCTCACTGCTGGGAAAAGACCAGTATTGTAAACAGGAGACTATAAGCATAGCAATATGCTGTTCAGTTAAATTTTTCAAAACATGAAAAAGTAATTTTTTTATTTCCCCACCCCCTCACATTTTTAAATGTTCATAAGTAAAGGAACACTATCAAATTGAACATCAGTTAAACGTAGTTTCACGTACAACATCCATCTGAGTCCTACAGTCAGTGTTTATGGTTTAAAATTCATACCCTTGGTTTTGAAATTTCTCTCTCCCTTGTTACCCTGTGAAAGACCCAAACATAACTGGGTGATCTGATGAACTATCTGACTCTACAGGGGAAACAATGAAACTGATTATACAGGTCAAGTATGTACACAATAAACAATCCGACAAAACAAAACAAGTCTCACTCTCTCTTTAGCCTCATTTATAGTAATCTTAGGTGTTAGAATACTTGTAACAGGTCTGTAACAACATACATGTGGTTTTTATGTTGACAGAGTCCCTTTTTACAATAGCAATCTCTGGACTGGTCATTTCCTGGAAGTGAAACACCAGTTGCAGGAGACAAGGGGCTACATGAACGTTAAGGCTCCTCACTCAGCTGGTCAATAACCCATCAGCCATCACTGCTTAAATATTAGCCATATTTCATTCCCCAGGGCAAGATCTGGGAGTTTTGCCATTTATTTCAACAAGAGCAGGACTGGGACTTTAACTACAAGAACACTTTTTAAAATTGCACTTTACTCACCTTAAAAATCCTTTGTCAATACAGGAGGTGAACATTTTCTGATGAATTCTCACAAAGATACAGAGCCTCATGCTAAATCAAACATCATTACTACAGTGTATTGACCTTACAAAATCCATCTGCCAAAGATTTCATGCAAGACAGAAATCCTGTTCAACTCAACAGAAGCCTTAAGTGCAATGTTCAGTTAACTGACACTGTGAGCCAACAGTAAAAGTATATGTGCAACACAAGGATTTCAAGTGATATTGGACTGCTCAGTATTTAAATATTAATAAAAAGAAATAAAAAGTCTAAAGTGACCTCAGTCGCTTACATAGTGTAACTGAAATTTGGATGTAAGAATGTGTCTAGTGGTGAATTTTTTTTATTATTAATTTGATAGTTACATCCATGGAACCAATTTACAACTGATTAGCAGGCATACAGGTATTACTCAAATAAACTGTACTATTACTATGATTTATGTTACAGGCAGTAACACAAATGATAGTAAATTTTAGTCTCTAAGGTGCCACAAGTACTCCTTTTCTTTTTACTTTATCCCTGATTACCACCAAGAAAAAAAAAAAAACAGCAGGGGAAGAGGATAAAGAGAGCAGTGATTGCAATTTGCAAACCTGTCAGTAAAAAACAAAAGAAGTGAAAATCCATTAATTTTTAAAAGATATTACAGAAATTATTTTACCATGATTATTCTAAATTTTTTTAAATCGTTTTTAAAAACAAATGACCTGTATTTAATCTTGAAGCTAGTATTCCTCAGACAGAGCCCTACCATGAAGTGAAATAGTTGGCAAAGTGAGCAACAGGGGTAAAATGAACACCATTTTGCATTTTCCTAGGACTTATATTGAGAAATAACATTATTTTATTCTCATTGTAAAAAATCCTGTACAGTGAGAAAACATATTTTATAGTAATTTTTTAAATGTTTTCATTTTCAGAAAAGAGCCTTAGGGATTTTTCCTTTTTTAAAACATATTTTAACTATTGTTTTTATTGTATTTCTTTTTCAGCCACCACAAAGTAGTAAAAAACAAATTAAAATATAATGTAGAATATGAACATCATATCCCTATACAATATGCACTTCCTGAGCTTAAGGAAGTCTGGAAATGTTACAGTGGTCCTTTCTGAAATGAACCAATCAAAACTAGTCTATGAGAGACAGATTTTCAAAAGTGCTCAGCTCCCATATAAGCACCTAAATAAGAGTCTAAATCTCCTTTAAAGATTATCTGCAATGGAAAGATATAGCTTTGTATCATTTTCTTTATATTTCATAAAGAAACTGAAAGTCTGGAAGGTTGTGAGTTTGTTTGGTTTTTCAGTACAAGCTGGCGGGGGTGGGAGGGAAAAGCACTGGTAAACTGATAGCATTCAGACATTGGAGCATGTATCTTACCCATCTATTTTGTACTGGACCCATTCTTGTGATAGCTCAGTAAACCTGATTAATTGAGATGGGAAGAGGTCTTTATTCAGGTTGTTAAAAATAATTTGTATTTTGTTCCTATTCATTAACTCGCCCTATATTACCTTGTATCAACTGGAAAAAAGATTCAGCACACCTGTCAATTCATCTAGCGGCTAAGGGAGCTCCTAATACACTTTGAGCTACCCCACAAGTTTACCAACAACACCTCTTTAAAATTAAGAAGACAGAAAGAGATGAAATTTAATAGTACAAAGTGCAAGGTCATGCACTTAGGAACTAACAACAAGAATTTTTGCTATAAACTGGGGATTTATCAGTTGGACGAGACAGAGGCGCAGAAAGATCAGGGTGTATTGTTTGATCACAGAATAACTATGATGTGGCCACTGTCACGGCCAGGTACTAGACTAGATAGACTATTGGTCAGAACAAGTATAGCAGCTCCTGTTTTCCTATTTTCTTAACACTAGAGAAGGTTAGACTTTAATATTTCTAAGGTTAAAAACAGCAGGAAAAATATTAAAAATAAAGCAACACTTCTAGGTCTTCTCTATACACCATAAAGAGTAAAAAACTGAACAAACTCAATTTCTCTTTTCTTTTCAGGATCACCTGAACAGACTTTTCCATTGCAAACATTTAAAGGAAAACCATCAATATTCAGGGGTAGACAGTAATCTTACAATCCTCCCCTAATAATCTTCCCCAGGAATATTTCAGTTCTTTTCCTTGCTTCCCCCTTCCTCTAGCGGAAAGTAAACTGCACCATCCCTTTCTCTGGAGCAGCTCACTTTCCTCTGTGTGCCATCTCAGATGTGCTGGCCAACACATTGAGGGGGCAGAACCAAGACTCTGCCCACTCCCAGACCCTGCTAACCAATTATCCACTCCCCTTTACAGGAAGAGGAATAGCATCTTGGTGGTAGTTGCTCTTTCTTTCACACTATGAGCAGCAGGCACAGGTGAATCAACGGTTACCGCAGGCCCACTTGTTCCCTTGTGTGAGTGCACAGCTAGGGTCAGGATCTGTACCTCACTTTTTCATACAGCTGAAAACAGGTAAATTATGTAAATCTTCACTATCTTCACTCATGTGTGCCTATTTCTGCAATAACAACCTAGGCACCTAGTTTTGAGCATTTAGTTCACAATATTTTATGTTCTATGTCAAAGATTTCCAATCTGTAGGCCACAGAACACTTACTGGTAGTCTGTGGAAAGCTGGCTGGTCACTTGCTGTTGGATCTCCTGTTTGTTTCCAAATACTATAGTGCATTGGAGACCACTAAAAATGCATTCAATACTTCTCTAACAATACTCGCTATGTAGATAATAGCTGTAGTTTAAAGATTATGAACTGGAAAGGTGGGGAGTGAAGGATAGTCCACAAAACAAATTCACTAATAATTAAGGCTACAATTTAGTCACAGAGGTCACGGCAGTCATGGATTCCGTGACTTCACTGGACCTCTGTGCCTTCTTCAGCTTCAGCTGTCCACAGCTGAAGCCAGGGCTGGAACTGGGGCTATGCTCCCCACATAGCCCTGCCATTGGGGCCGCAGCCGGGGCCGTGCACTCCTGCCCCAATGCTTGCAGCAGGGCCAGAGCCGGGGCCATGTACTCCTGCCCTGCAGCAGGGGCCACAGCCACAGTCACGCGTTTCTGCCCTGTGGCCTCTGGTGTGGGCCACAGTTGGGGCCATTCGCTCCTGCCCTGCGGCGGGGGCCACAGCCAAGACTGTACACCGCTGCCACACGGCTTGCACAGTTATTTTTAGTAAATGTCAGGGACAGGTCATGGGCTCTATGAATTTTTGTTTGTTGCCCGTGACCTGTCCCTGACTTTTACTAAAAATAACTGTGACAAAAATCTTAACCTTACTAATAATATATGGTCCATCCTGTGAAACAGTTTGAGAATCTTTGTTCTAAGCTATAAAACCAGCCTGCAGAGGGAACACAAGCTAATTCCTGACCAGTAAGGTGCTAAGAGTCCCTTCTGTGAGATACATCATTCAGAGGTGAGGAGAAATGGTACCATGCAGGAGGTACCTTGCAGAATCAAGCCCTAAAATCCCTGTCCCTGGAACTTTTCTGACATCACTGAGGTCAGAGTAAATAAAGTAATAAATAAAAGACCCTTGTTCATTTGTGCTCCTTAAAACACAAAGATCAAAAATAATAATATTGCTAAGTGGAAAAACAGCAAAATTAGTGATGAAAGAAATCTTATTTTCTGAACAGCTATTACAAGCAACTGAGTACAAGGGAAAACACTATAACAAGTACTTAAAAAAAAACAAACAAAGCTGGTTTTGGTTTTCATTTCATTGTTAAATATTTCTGCGGAACATTACTCACTTCAAAACAGTTTCCTCCAGAGAGCAATAATACAAGATGTTGTCCATGCCTAGCCAAAGATAAACATGAGAAAAAAAGAGAATTTCAGTTATAATGTCAAAACAAATTCCATAACTAGCTCAGAGTCCTCCCTTGTAAAATATTGAAGAATTTAATTTAACATCTAATCTCATCTTCAACTAGTCAGAAGCTTGTTCCCTGAAGACTTCAGTCAAGTTGACTGATCAGTCCTAATTCCCACTGGTAATGGAAGTGACAAACATATGCATTCACACACTTTAAAGGCAGTGGTCTATTTTATCCCCATTAGAATAGATTACAACAGTAATCAGTTCAAATTAAAATGGTACCCAAATTTAAGTTATGTCTAGACAAAGAGAATAAATCAAAACTTCATCATCTAACTTTTTTGCTACATCAGAAGTTAATTACTACATAGGAAAATCAATTTAAAGACCAGCTGCTTGGATTCATTTAAATAATGTTCATCACATTGTACATAATCTGTGATGAATTCTATAAACAAGTGCCCCAAAGATAGTGAGATTTCAACATCCTACCAGCCCACAATCAATGTAACATCTTGTTTCACATAGAGAGAGATATATCTTTATCATTTATGTCAGTGTTAAATAAATAACTTCCATTTACTCAAACCTCAGTTTACAAACTCAGTAAACAAACTCCCCCTTCTCTGTAAACATGAAGAATGTATGATTGCTTGATCTTTCAATAATTATATATATTTTAATTAATATGTTCTAGTTAGTTGTGTAGAGACCCACAGTTAATAATACAGCTTGATCCAGATGTGGTGACAACTTGCAGCATATTGTATGCTTTTTAAAATGCTGTGCCTCTATGGATTTGATACAGTATTTGCAGTGTTTCAAATAATACAATAATACAATAATGGGCCCTGAACCTGTGAGACACTGAGCACCCTCAGTTCACGCAAGAGAACCCCATGAAATTTGAGGGTGCGTGGCAACCTGCAGAAGGTACTCAGCAACTCACAGAATCAGGCCCAAAATTTTCAGAATTAGAATTGAAGATTTTATGTGATTTTTAAAAATATATACATTATTGAAATAAGTAAAATGACATACAAGGCATATTTCTATCTGGGTACTCTGGAAATAACAACAGAGGTTTGAATTAATGAACTTAGGAATGGAACTTGAAATTTGCGAACTGGACATCTAGAGTAGATTGTTTTCACTAAGGTCCAAATTTGCATACTGTTCCTTATGCTGCATAGTGCCACCAATAGCCCCACTGATTCCAAGGGGAATATTTCTGGAGTGAGTTACTGCTCATCATGCGTGACCATCTCATAGTCATGAATTGAAAAATGTATGCTTAAAGACAGATGAAATGTGCATGTGCATGCAACTCAAGAATGCTCACTTTTGGAAAAATGGCGAAGAGGCAGCAGCAGTTGGGTTAACCCACCTCACACTAACATTCTTAGCTTTCACCATTTCATCCCCCTGATTTTCGTCCTACATTATGTGTTTTTAAGAAAGCTTAATGCCAGTGTCTCTTGTGGTTTAAATCTATATGATGTCTCAGAAAAATTAAATTTTTTAATATAAGACTTTTGATCATTTGAACCTGCAAAAAAAAAAAATTCAAAAAACCTACAAACACACAGGAACACATGGTCCTTGACTTGTTGCTGAAAGTTAATTGTAGGTCTGTAAGCAGTGGAGTGGTTAAGTTTTTACCAAGAATCTCCATATGTTACATATAAAGCCAATAAAAATAAATAGATCACCATGATACACAGCATCTTCAGGGTCTAGATGCAATTATGAGCTGCCTAAGTATCAATCTGGTGGCTTCTGATAACATCTGAGTCTTTTGCCCGACTTCTAATGTGGTAATCTCTCCATTCCCTATTCATTATTTTAATTTGTAATATGGCACGTGCTAAGATACATCAAAACCATAATTAGCAGCCCCCGAGAAACAGGTAGTACTAGCATTATTTTTTCTAGTAACAAACAATTAAATATTGCACTTAGCCCCTGAATTTTTTTTTAAATAAACAACCCCACATTTATGACCAGAATTAATTAGTCAGATTACAGCTGGCTGCCAAGCCACAAGCAGTAACAGTTCTAAATAAACCCGTCATTATGCAGTGTATATAAATGCCTCATTTCAAGAGCAGTACTATTAATAGTTTATATAAATCTTCACATTTTTTAAATTTAAAAAATAAGTGATTACACATTTGCTGTGACTCAGAAGCAGTTTTCCATACGTGGGAAGGAATACAGGATATGTTTCATTAAGTGTAAATGGAGCAGACAATTTTTCTAATTAATAAAGATAATCTTTGAGTGACAAGCCAAGAGCTTTCTTGGATGAACTAACATTCTGAGTCTTTAGTCTCTCGGGTTTATGGGTTATGGGGGCAAAAGAATCCAAAGATCTCTGGGCCCATGGATGAGAAAAATTTGATAAAATAGCTGTCACTAGAACTGGCTGGAAAACAAGAATTCCATTTTGAGAAAAATGTTGAGGTTTTGACATTTGGTTCCATTCTGATGCATAGCAAAACCAAGGTTTATTTTTTGCTGAGATAGAGAGGCCCTAGATTCTCCGAGTGGTTAGAGGCTAGATATGTTCCCTAACCACTGAGCTGTTTTGGGATCTCTCTCTTTCTCCCCTGCCCCTGTCCTGGACCTGAGAAACTCTCATCATACCCAATACGGTCTGAAAAAAGTTTTTGTTTCAATAAATTTGCATTTTCTAATCAAAAAAATTGTCAAAGAGTTCCCGACCAGCTTTAGCTACCAAGCTCTGGAAAACATTAAGATATTTAAACTCCTTTTTATATCACTGCATTTCCTTTTCAATAATTTCTCATTACCTATGGACTGGAGCTTTTCCTATGTAATTAGCATTCTTTGTATGCCTAATTTAAGGCATAAAGCTGCTGGAATTCTCTGCAGCATAAAACAATGGCGGTGGGGAGGGAAATCCTTCCAGGTTTATTCATACTATGGCCAAGCTGCTGCCTGCGTAAAGTTTTCTCTGTTCTTTATCTGTGTTACTAAGAGCAGAGGTGATGTTGGGAGTGCAGCGGGGGAGTCCTTTTACAAGATCCAAGGTTGCAAACAAATTACAACCTAGAATGTTGAGGTCCACATAATATGCACAGTAAGATATATGTAAGAGCTGGGACAGCAATGTACTTCAAATAGAATTATCAAGAAGGGTGTAAAATTGGAATAAAGTTTTAACTACTCAAGCTAGCTTTCGCTACCCACCCCACAAGCCCTACTGCAGCACCAGTCCTGACTTGTCATCTTATGTTCATCTAGCCGCTGACTGTTCCTCTCCAAGTGCAGCACCTCCATATTCCCCTCACTCACACTCAGGCCTCCAGTTCTCCCTGTCATAAGTTACACCCGTATATAAACTGGTTTCATTAAAAAATAGTTAATGCCTGAAACTAACACCCCCAACGTCAATGTACAGTATGCCACTTACAAAAAACAAAAAAAGAAAAAAATCAGCAATACCTCTGAACATAAAGGTTACAAAGAACAAGGATTTAGAGGAGAAACATCAACAATGCATCATCAGTATTACAAATCAAAACTTACGGGCAAAGTTCCACTTCGAGATAGTCTTTAGTCTCACTACTCAGAAAAAAGGATTCAACAACTGTAAAAAAACCAAAAACAAACAATTCCAAGAATTAAGAAAGTTTGTACTTAGGAAAAGTGAATACCATAATCACTGCCTGTGATTATATCCATGGGATAGTCTCAGTCTTCACAGATAAACCACATGTCCTCTAAATTATTCTTTTATTCATCTTTAAGATGTTTCGGGCATTGCAGAGTTGTGAGGATGGAAAGATTGTCTCAATAATGTGATACACTCACATATTCATAATATGATTATTTTTCTCACGTGACAAATACAAATACTGTCTGTGGTGGGATCTCTAGGCATATTGTGTAGTTAAACACTGATATATTTGGAAGGGGACAGATTTGGTATTGAAGGAATAGGGTAGACTGGTCTGCTTTGACCTTACCCTTAAAGAAACCTGCCACCAAAAGAAGCCTTTAAATAAAGGTTTACCAGGATTCTAAAAGGTTTCGCTTGACCTTTTAGTGAAAATTCTGACTGTTCTGAACTAGTCTTCTCCTGCCTGATAAACACACTTTTGTTTCTGCATTGCAGCATTGCACTTTGTAATGGGTAAGCAATCCAAAATATGAAAGAATGCTACTGTTAGAGCTGGGCAACATTTTTTACAAAAAAGTTTTCTTGAGGAAAAATTGCTGTATGTAAAAATGAAGTTTTATTTACAAATTGTTGACATCTTCAGAACGTTCCTTTTCTCAAAACTTTTTGGGATATTTTTAATCAACTTTATTATCAAAAATCATCATCAACTTTTTTTCCTAACTAAAAACATAATTTATGTTAAATAGAAATGTTTGTAAGATGCAAATGAAAAGTTCATGTTCAGTAATGTTCAGTAAATGAAAGTGTTCAATTTCAAATGCAATTTTGATTTAAAAAAACCTGACGCAGAGACATTCACAAACAAACAAAAAAAAACCTTTAAAACCTTGCAAAATAGAAGATTTCAAAGTTTCTCAAAAAATAGTTTCTTTTTCAATCAGCTTCAGCCAGCATGTGTATATATATTTAAGTAATTTTAACTGCAAACCTTCTTAGACTTCTAGAAAATTAATATTCCAAAACACGTTTTAGGTTCATCTGTCATCCAGTTGCTCCTAAATATAACTGTTTATTTTATAGGATTAATTTTAGCAATTCTTCTCGTACATACAGAGCATAATATTTTAACTCAGAGACTCTTAATTTGTTAACAAACTAAATATTTTTCATATCTTGACACAACTGATCATTTTGAGGCACACCCTACAATGCACCAGAAAAAGGAGGAGGAGTCATTGAGATAGTTCTGTTCCCTTCCAACCTCGGCTGCAGAAGACATTACACCTACCAAACAAAAACATTTGAGTGCATCCCAATGATCTGTGAGGCTAAGACAATAGAAAACTAGAGCTCCTAGTGATTTACAGACCTCCAGATGGAAAGCCTGTCAACTTCCTGGAGGAACTTCTAGAGCTACTGTCCAGCATGGTATTGGAATCCCTCAGATTCCTTGTCCCCAGTGACCTCAACCTCCATACAGACAATGAACATGATACAGTAGTACTTGATCTCATGGTCTACATGGAAACCATGGGATTCTCCCAGGCAGACTCTAGATCAGAGGTGGGCAAACTACGGCCCGCGGGCCACATCCAGCCCACAGGACCATCCTGCCCAGCCCCTGAGCTCCTGGCCGGGGAAGCTAGTCCCCAGCCCCTCCCCCACTGTTTCCCCTTCTCCGCAGCTATGCCACCATGCGGGCAGCATGGCTCATACCTGCCCACCTTCCATGCTTTCCAATAAGCCTGTCCTGCTGCTCTGAGTGGCATGGTAAGGGGGCGGGGAGAATGGGGGTTGAGTAAGGGGCAGGAGGTCCCAGGGGGCAGTCAGGAGATAGTTGGATGGGGTGGATGTTTGCAGGGGGGGGCGGTCAGGAGACAGGGAGCAGGGGGGGTTGGATGGGGGTGGGGCAGTCAGGGGACAAGGAGCAGGGAGGGTTGGATGGGTTGGGAGTTCTGAGGGGGGTAGTCAGGGGTCGGGAAGTGGGAGGGGGCAGGGGCCAGGCTGTTTGCGGAGGCACAGCCTTCCCTACCTGGCCCTCCATACCGTTTCGCAACCCCGATGTGGTCCTCGGGACAAAAAATTTGCCCACCCCTGCTCTAGATCCAGACATGCAAATGGACATATGTTGGATCCTATCTTCAGCCTAGGAGTGTATATTGTAGACAACAACAACATACCACTTTCCATACGATCATAACCTCATCCAGACAAGATCATTGCCTTCCTTCCTTCCCACAATGACAGTGAGCATCCAAATGCTGATCCACCCCTGAAGATTCCTGAATTCTCTAGGTTTGCAACTCAGCACAGGAGGACAAGGCGCTGATGAGTTAGTACAACAGAACCATCATTTGATGTTCATTACCACTGATGCCTTTGTCTCAAGCCACTCTGTCATAAATATAAAGGGAAGGGTAACCACCTTTCTGTATACAGAACTATAAAATCCCTCCTGGCCAGAGGCAAAACCCTTTCACCTGTAAAGGGTTAAGAAGCTAAGATAACCTCGCTGGCACCTGACCAAAATGACCAATGAGGAGACAAGATACTTTCAAAGCTGGAGATGGGGGGGAACAAAGGGTCTGTCTGTGTGTGCGATGCTTTTGCCGGAAACAGATCAGGAATGTTCTTCAGATATCCTCAGAACTTCTGTTAAGTTAGTAAGTAATCTTGCTAGAAATGCGTTAGATTTCCTTTTGTTTAGTGGCTGGTAAAATAGCTGTGCTGAATGGAATATACATTCCGTTCAGCACAGCTATTTTACCAGCCATTAAACAAAAGGAAATCTATATGACACACCCGTTCACCCAATTTGATCAAGAAGATCACCTTGATTCACAGATTAACCACTATAGAAGTCGTGCATAGGCAGAAAGTTAGAATGCCCATGGTACAAAAAGACACTTTGAATCCACCCACCAGCAGCACAAACAACTCTTACAGGACTACACCACAGCAATAAGGAGGCAAAATAAGCCTTCTACCCCGTGTAATCAATGCAATCAATGCAACAGACTGATGCCCACTACTAATGGAAATAGTCATTGCCTCCTTCAGAGACATATACCTATCAAGCTTCTTGAAAAAATTTAATAGTTTGTAGGATTCATACAAGGTTTATGCGCTTGGCAACATTCAGGGCACACCCGGAGTGTTGTGCTGGACCTGTGCACACACAGCTCCTTTCAAGGGCATCAACCTTGGAATCTCGCCCAGATGACATGAACCATGGGAAGCCTCCCAGGACTGGGCTCAAGGCCCGAGAGCAAGGAATGCGGTAGATAGAAACTGGTAAATAAGAATGTTAAACAAAGCCAGTGTATTCCTTTTATCTGTTGGAGAATGTAATGCGCGGGGGGAGAGAAAGAATAAAGGGGAAGGTGGAAAGCTGACAGGCAGAAGCCCGTTAGCAGACCAGCTTGCTTGCTTGCTTAAAGCTCTGTGCTGTCTTGTCATTGAACCGCAACAATAGTTCATTTGATACTTAAGCCATCACTTGACCCTGAAAACCTCACAGCTAACATCCCATTTTCAACCTCCCATTCCTAGACAAAATAACTGAGAAAGTAGTAATCAAGCTCCAACAATGCTACATAAACCAACACCTTGGAAGACTCACAAGCAAGTTTCAGACAACGGCACAGAACATAGACAACTGTGGCGATACTAAGAGATGGCATTCTTATGGCCAAGATTTCTAGGCTAGTATTGCTGTACCTCTCTATAGCTTTTGACAAACTGGACCACAAGGTACTGCTAACGCTCCTACATGCAACAGCAGGAGTAGACAGACCAGCACTACAGTGGTTCCAATTGTACCTCTCCAGAAGAGCCCAGAGTGTGGTGATGGTTCCCCCACTCTGAAGGCCCTCACCTGTGAGGTCCTACAGGGATCCATGCTATCCCTGCTTCTTTTTAATATCTACCTGAGAGATAGTGAGAGGCCATGGGTTCAGCTGCCAACAGTATGCTGATGAAACTCAATAATATACCTCATCCTCAAGTAATGCAGCCACCACCACTACTCAAATGTAGAACACCTACAAGAAATCAGCTCTTGGAATAAGAGCAGCTGTGCAAGCTGAACCCACGCAAGACCAAAGTGGTGCTCAATGGAAAGGCAAAATGCTATATAGCAGTGGTTTTCAAACTTTAGCAACCTAGAGGACTCCCATTTTGATTGAAAATTTTTTGGGGATCCACAAACCCCCCAGCTCAGCCCCAGGCCCTGCCCCCACCCCACCTCTTCCCTCCCCACCCCTGCCCCTCCTCTTCCCCACCTCTTTCCACCCCCTCCCCTGAGCACCCTGTCCCCACTCCTCCCCGTCCCTCCCAGTGCTTCCTGTATGCCGTTGAACAGCTATTCCCTGGTGTGCAGAAGCACTGGGAGGGAGGGGGAGGAGTTGATCAGCAGGGCCAGTGGCCCCGGACATGATTCCTCCCCTCTCCCCCAAGCATGCCCCATCCCTGCTCCCCCCCCCCCCCCCCTGTCCATCCCAGCGCCTCCTTCATACCTGAAGCCACTGAACAGCTGTTCCCCAGCGTGCAAGAAGCACTGGGAGGGAGGGGGAGGAGTTGATCAGTGGGGCCCAGGGACCCCCTGGAGTATCCTCACAGACACCAGTTTGAGAAACGCTGCTATATAGAACGATCATACACACTTTCCCAGTCTTCCATTGAAAGATAAAGTCCCCATTCATCAAAGTGGTGCATAGGCTCCCTGTCTTTTCATGAAGTGTGGATGACCAGGCAGCTTCAGTATTTAAAAATGCCTTTTTTTTTTAAACCTCCAGCTTCATTCTTTCCCCACACATAACACCTGGCCAAAGTGATCCATACATTCATCACCTGGTAGATGGATTTCTGAAATTCACTGTGTATGAAGCCAAACTTGAAGACCATGTACAGGCTTCAGCTGGTACAAAATACAGCTGGCTGCGTCTCCAGAATACAGTCCACCATAAGCTCACCAGGCCTGTTCTCAAATCCCTCTACTGTATCCCAGTCAGCTTCAATTGCTAGTTTAAAGCTTTAGTCCTAATCTTCAAAGCAATTAATGCACCAAGTCCCAGATTCCTTAAAGACCAAATTTCCATTTATGAACCACCATGACAACTGTGATCTTCTAGGACAATGCAGATCACAAAGCCCAAGACAAAATAAATGAAAGCTGGAGAAAAAGCATTCTCAGCTGAACAGATCCAACTATGGAACAAGCTTCCAGAGGTCTAAAGTCACACAATACATTTCTTTGAAAATTGTACTTGTGAGGGGGTCAAATCCTGGGAGTGGGGGAGGAGTAGGAAGATATAAATACTCTTCAAGCGCCACTCAAGGTAAACTTTGTTCACTTGAGACAACAAAATAAGACACATAATATTATGAAAATCAGCAACATTTAATCATCCCTCTCCTTTCTTGCATGATTTGATCACCGGTGAGCTAATAAGAATGTTGACATTTAAATTACCATTAGAGTCAACACTACTTTGAGTTAATGGGAGAAATTCTCTCAGAGCTATTTCAGGCTGTTTACAGTCACAAGAAGATATTACTACATAGTTGTTAGTGTTTTTCCACATTCTGAAATCTAATCTCCATAACCGCGCATGTGTGTATATATTTATATTTCTCACCTTCATAATCCCAGAGTCCATCAAAAGGCTTTCCTGGCTCACCAGATGGGGCAGAAGGGTCATCAAAGAATAGGGAATTCACTTTCATTATTAATCCTTGGTCACCTGCCTCAAATCTGATGATCACCGGCTCATGCATCACCTCTGTGCTGTCCCAGGTATTTGTAATCTTGTATTCCAACTACAGAAGATTACAGAAGAGGAAAAAGAGAAAATGTAAAATGAGTAAATGCTGGGTACCATCCTGTGGTATTGGGGACTGTGCCTTAATGTCTTATTAGCAAAAGCAGTATAAAGTTACCATTTATTTTGATGGATTCTGAATGTATGGGATCCTTTAAGGGGGAAAAAAGATGATGATTAGATATGATGATGCTAGGTTGAACAATTATCTCTCTTTTGGAGTAGTATCATTTGGCTGTGTGAGCTGATGCGCCAATCCAACAGCACCCCCTTTGGCCAGAAAGAGCATTGCACCAGTGGTCACTTGATTTGGCATGGCAGTCAGTCAGCTCCTCTTGCCTGTGGCTCTGTGGTAGCCCCATTCTGGGCCATGGAGGTTGTTAGCCTCAGTCCCACTGAGATATGTAGGTTTTCCCCTTATACTTGGCATGGTCAGCTGATCTGAGTGCTCAAGGGTATGGAAATTCTTTCCATTCTCTAGTCTCTCAGAGAACCCAGACCTGCCCACTCCACTGGGTTCCAGCTCAGAACCCTAAAACCACAGAATCAGGCCTCAGCAACTCCTCCTGCTGTGCCCTGAACTCCTTCCTACCTCACATTGTTTCTATAGGCTTTTCCAGCCCGGAAATCCAGTCATCCCTTGTCTGGGTGTTGTCTCTGCACAGCTTCTCAGCACCTTACTGGAACAAGTTTCCTTCTCCAGGTTGCTTGCTTGCTCCACTGGCAGCCACTCCACCCCTCTACTTCCCAGTTCTTTTATTTTCCCAGCTGCTGTGAGGTTGCCAGTCACCACTGGCTAGCAGTACCTGCATTAACCCCTTGGTTGCCAGGTTACCATGTGGCCAGTACATCCCTCGGCCCATGCCGCTACCCGCAGCCCCTATTGGCTGGGCACAGTGAACCACGGCCAGTGGGAGCCATGATCGGCCAAACTTGCGGACGCAGCAGGTAAAGAAACTGGCCCGGCCCGCCTGGGGCTTTCCCTGAACAAGCAGCATCCCAAGTTTGGGAAACACTGAAATAAAGTATTAAAAAGGCTAAATTCTCTGAAAAATCAGGTTATATGCATCTCAGATTGGGCATCCAATATTAGTAGACATTTCTGACATTCTCTCTGTGCCTCAGTTCTCCGACTCTAGAAAGCTCAGTACAAGTGGAATCTTCATAGAATTCATTTGCCAAACTCTAAAGAGTCTCTACTCATCTTGTGCAAACTGAAATTTTCAGAGGCAAAAAGCACAGCCCTAAAAACAGTGTGACCCCTATCTAATCTTTAGTCTCTGCTCCAAAGCATGGAACCACCATAGTTTCTCAACAAAACAGTTGCAAGAATATTTTTAATATGAGCAAAGCAATGCATTTGTCCTTAACTTTATTCTGAGAAACATATTTTTACTGAAATTTTTCAAAAATTCATTTGGAAGTAGACATCTGACATGAAATATTTCATCCCAAACTATTAAAGTTTGGGAAAGTTATAAATAATTAAAAATAGGGTCTAATAATTGAAAGTATTTGGCAACCTTAACATTAGGTGTCACTACTTAAACTGCCTATAATAAAATATTATAGAACAAGAAAATACTACTTAGCAGAGCATATAGTCAACCTACGGAATTCACAGCTGCAGGATACTGTAGCTAACATTTAAAAGAAAGAATAATTTTATGACAGCTATTAAATAAATTGGTTAGTCTCTAAGGTGCCACAAGTACTCCTTTTCTTTTTGCGAATACAGACTAACAAGGCTTTTACTCTGAAACATGTCAAAGTGCAAGCAGGGATCAGGAAGAAATCCTTCCATGCACAATTAGTGAGGTGAACCAGCAGGTTTGGGAAATTCTAGAGACAGGATATTAAACTAGATGGAGTGATGATATGATCGACAAGGGCAAATTATATATTCCTATGAATATTCAGCCTAAAATACCTTACAATAATTTGCCTGTTGTGGAATACACAACATACTCAAATGTACTGTTCGTGTATTACTATAGCTACTAAAAATCCTGAATATATCATTTTGAAATGATCATGCCTAACGCAACCATACATATTGCCTCCTGGAGCTTCATATATCACTGTCCTGTTCACTACAGCAGCTTTTAACCAGAAGAAAAACAAGTTATGGAATGCACAGAAGTTTACTAGTACAAGTCTGGGTTTCTAGAACCATGAATTCTCTTAATGATATTATTAAAGATGCCATGATGCCAGCATACAAGCAAGTGAACACAAAGGGTCTGGCTGTAGTAAGCGTTAACCAACATAATTAAGGGTTAAATCGGGAGTAAAGCAGCTTCCAGTAGTTTTGATGAAGCATCTCTCGAGTACACAGCAAAATAACATTGTTTACTGAATAGGAAAGGAGAAATACCGTGCAATTATCAAGCTTCAATAATGTTATTACAAATATATTGTAATTAAGGAAAGTGTGGTAGACTTTAGAAATAGAGTTAACATGAGGAAGATTAAATTAATATTTTTTTGTACATAAAGCATATTGAAAATTGTGTCATACACACTTCAGAAACATTTACCTTGTCTGGAACTGAAAATACACCAAGGGTAAGATTCTGTGAAGTGTCTTTCAGAGACACAAAGTAGAACTTCTAAAAGTATTAAATAACAGAGGAAAATAAATAATAAAAGGCTCTACGTTTTATTGCTTCTTTGAAGTTGCCAAAAGATGTGCTCATTATTTGCAGAAGACTTTTTATGCTGCTTGGTTTTTTTCCATTGTAAATATTAAGTCCTGATTTTCCATTCCACTGGATAAAAATCTGATTAAGGTCATGTTTCTATACCACAAAGGAGCAGCAAAAGGCATAAAGAAAATTTCAGAGTTTTCTTTTCAGGCTATGTCTACACAGTGGACCTTACAGTGGCACAGCTGTACCGCTGCAGCTATGCCACTAGAAGGTCTCCTGTGTAGCCGCTCTATGCCAGTGGGAGAGAGCTCTCCTGCTGGCATAATTAAACCACCCGCAATGAGCAGCAGTAGCTATGTCTACACCAGCACTTTCGTCGGTGAAACTTATGTCAGTCTGGGTATATTTTTGCACACTTCTGTCCGGCAAAAGTTTTGCTGACAAAAGTGCTAGTGCAGGCAAAGCCTAGGAAAACTACCTCTATTCATCAGGGGGAGGAATAGTTCAGTGGTTTGAACAGTAGCCTGCTAAACCCAGGGTTGTGAGTTCAATCCTTGAGGGGACCATTTGGGATCTGGGGCAAAAATTGGGGATTGACCCTGCTTTGAGCAGGGGGTTGGATTAGATGACCTCCTGAGGTCCCTTCCAACCCTGGTATTCTATGAAAAGTACTTAAAGCATTATCGGTTTTTTGGAAAGCGTGCATAAGTTCATATTAAACTTTTGAAGAATAAGATATCCTTTAAACCAGTTTCTTATGTCACAAACATTTGTAAGTTATAACTCTTACAAACTTACACTTACCTCACTCGTTTTACCCTCCAGTGATTTTGTCTGATGATTATTAGCGAAAACATTTCTACTTTAGGGAACATAAAAAAAGATAAGAACTGTGAATAGATAATGATATGGTGTAATTTAGTATTTCTGTTGATATAACATACAATCACACAACTTAGAAATATAGCAGTCAAAATCAGTTCTATACAACCACAATTTTTGAGGGATTCCTTATTTTAGGAATAATATAGGGGAGTGGAATAGGGTGAAGATAGCTGGGTTGGTAAAGCATCATTTTGATAACCTTCTTCTTCCATCTAGTGGCAAGAAAGAGTAAAAAACTAGGTATCTGGAAACACTGTCATAAAACATTTCCAAATGCCAACTCCAAAGACTCATTGATGTGACAAAGAGTGGGTGAGTAATGCAGAAAGCCTAAAGTTTATGTATGAGTTCATAAGGGTGATCAAAAAATAAAGTCAGAAAGAATTAGAAATACACAAGCTAAGACAAGTCAAAGTTCTGTTTTTGCAGGTATATTATTCATTCAGCTTAATATTTGAATTTTCCAGACTAATCAGTCTAGATAATTTGACTATACGAGAACTTGTCACTATCTGATGCTGGATTCTGACTCAGTTGCTGAGATTTCCAGTGTACGGTTCTGCAAAAGTAAAGAGTCTCTATGAAATTTTACTGTAACTGCTTAAGAATCTATTCAGTCCTCAGATGTCACAATGATCAGAGTTATCTAAGGGTCAAAACAGATAGTTCTGAGGCATCTATTGCCCTGTAACTGGGGGTTTTAGGGAAATGTAAAAAAGAAAGCGTTATTAAAAATCAATTATTTCCTCTGAATTACCATTCACAGGAGTTTTGCCATGTTGGAAAAACCATGCGTATTAGGATTTGGGTGCTATGCAAGGGGAGGAAGTGGGTAAGTAACAGGAACTGTTATATTAAATAAGACCAGCGCTACATCTAGTCCCAAACCGTGCTCTTTGTTGGCCTGAAGCTTCAAAGGAAGGCAAAAATTAAAACACTTAAGTGTTAAAGATGGGTCCAAATCAGAAGTGGAAGCACACTCAGGGCATATACCTTCCATTCCCATTTCCAAGTTTGATACTACCTTATTCCTAAGCCTTAGAGGCAGTGAGAGGGAGCTGCTTAGTCCTCATCAACCTTTGTATAGTGAGGCTGCCATTTCTTTACAGATATTTCCTCCTACCTGATGCATTAACTCCTCTGAAGCTGAGGACCTATTACTGGCTCTCCAGAAGCCACATACTTGTCCCTCTGTGTGTGGGGAACGGCTTCTGCATTACACAATATGCATCCATTAGTTCCATTTAAATTCATGTAATTGAATTTTTAGATTTACTTTATAATAAAAATAGTAATAGCAATTAAAACCAATTCATAGATAAAAATTAAATGAGCTATTTTTCCAATTGTAATTAGAAACAGTAGGAAAGTGTCTGATACCTGCTTAGAAGGAAGTGATGGGCAGGACCAGCTATGCATGCTGCAATAACAGCTAAAATACACAGCGCCTTCATTTTTTAAAAGATTAAACCAGAACAAAATTTACCACATTTATACTCCAGCTCCTGCTATCACCGCTGAGTAACCGCTGGACATTTCTGATTTCTGCTATTTAAATGGTGATTAATAACGTTTACCGTCCTTGGCAATCTTTTAATAATTGACTATGATTACAGATTAGCATTCTGTACTAGTATGTTACGAGCGGTAATTCATTTTGATACTTTGAACAATTTCCTTAATCACAGTGGTAATAGCATAAAATATGCAGTCCAACATTATTAATTTAACTCCACTCATTGTAAGTTATAGTGACACAGCAGCACCACTACCGTTAAGGTTGCATCACAACTTCTCTTTAAGGTCAACCTTTCTAAGTCCTCTGAAATCAACATGCTTTGTCAGATTCCTTTGAAATTTGATGTACTTTAGGAGAGTGCAGGGTCGGGTTAGTGAGCCAAATTTAAGGACATTTGGGCTACAGGTTGCAAAGATAAAACCACTCCTCAAAAATAGTCATTTTTTAAAAAGTTTCTAGGTTTTTTTTTCTGCACAGAGCTAGAGATCAAACTATTGATGTGATTGAGACTATTCTGACCAACATCTATTGAGTTTTACCCAAGGTAGTGCACAGCACCTACTAAATCTTTGGGGGACCCACATTCAGAACATTGTACAATGTGCACATTCCAATACAGTAAAAAGTTTAAAGAGTTTCCATTCCTGCTATTTTATATGCTTTAAAACTTGATTCTTGTAAGTGATCTAAAATCCAAATAGTTACTTGGATTGCTTTGAAATTTGGTGTGCTGTATGGAGTGACATTAGTGATCTAAATCAGGGGGTCCTTTGACCAAAGAGTTGCGGAGTTACAGGCC